TTGCAAGATCGCCTCCCCGGCAGGTTCCATATGGCCATGCCTTTTCTTGTCAGAATCTTATTAAGTCTCTTTTTACCTCCATGTTAAGTCTAAGTTAAGTCTGACACCAGCTCATTTATCTTGGCTTATGAAGAACTTGAAGGTAAACCCAGTAATGATTTAAAATTTTTACAAGCAGGATTACATTTTAATAACAGTAAAAATAGAAGTAAACCATGCAAATAATGCAGATTGCTGACATGTAAAGGCTGGAATGAACATGTAAATAAAGTACAATATGTAAATGTGATTAATGCCTGTTTATGTTTATTGTGTAATAGTTCGTGCAAAAAACTATTTTAGAAAAATAAAGTGGGATAGCGGCAGGTACCCCACATATTTTTAAGGGACCCACACATTTTATAAGGGGTGGGTCCCAGGGACTCCACATTATCGAACACTAATGCAACCCCTGTCACTCACTATGTAAAAAAAAATGTAACTTCATAAGTTAGTGTTGTATGATTATTTATCTACTGTAGAATACTTTATTTTCGCTTGGAATTAATTTTTGTTATTTTCGCTGAATGAATGATTCAGTAAAAATAAAATCCAGCGAATATACCTTTTTCCTATATTTTACGTTCAACTCGTCAAAAATCAGTGAAAATAAATTCCATACAAAGCACCCAAAATGTCTTTTCAGCTAAAATTAATTCCAGCTAAAGTAAAGTTTTTTACAGTACTTTGATGAATTTAATTTCCTTATACTCAACAAAACCCAATATAGAAAAACCCAATATAGAGTCACATTTAATGTTATTTAATGTACATATTAATGTTATAGTGTTTCAGCAATATCATATTCTTACTGCTGTACTGCTGGATATAGATGGCCATTAATAGAAGTCCGCATTCACTCTGTTGCATTGTACCATTTTAATAGAAGACACAGCTTCTAATACAGATTTTACAGTACTTATTTTTTACCTTTCCTATTGGAATGGAAAGTATTGTGTTGTTTTCATTCATAGTCTTTATGATAGTCAAATCATGGAAGCCATTTTAATATTAAAAAATCATTAAAATCGAGTGTTTCTGTTATTCTCAAACGAGGTCTTGGTCACGTTTTTAAGATTTTGTTCAGACTTGGTACATACATGTATCAAACATGATGTCACACTAATGCACATTAATTTGTGTGTTTTGTTCTAAAAATATACTATATACTTAGTCTAGTACCTTAGAATAAACTACAGCAAACTACAATAAACAGTACAGTTTACAGTACAGTACATTCATTGTAAAACATGTATCCTATAAACAAGATTATGAACATTAATTAATATTAAGATCACTTAAATTTTAGCAGGATAATGACGCTCAAAAAATTAAAAATAAATACTTTACATTGCCCCTCAAAGTGTGAATGGTTATTATGACAAAACATTCTTTTATCAAAGTTTACTGAAATTTGGTCTCTGCTATTACGGTTAGAGTGTTCATAATATTAATTTAGTTTGAATGACTGTTTATGTAATTTTTGATAAAAAAAATTGTATTATTGACTCCTTTTGTTAAAATAGCAGCCCAACTACAGAGAATGGCTAAGAAGCTACTTACATGTAAATCTCAACAAATATAACAGTGGTAAGCTTTCCTGCCTGAAAACTATTTTGTGGTTATTTTTGGCTTTGACGTGTTTTCAAAATGTATCTCCCAGTTTGTTTAGATATGTTGCCAGTTTTTTTTTTATTTTTAAAAGTTGACATAAATCACTCTGAATTAATATTAATTGATCTTCATCAGATTGTTTGTTTGGGTTTCTGTCTTCAAACCGTTATTCAGGAACATCAAATTTGTCATTTGAGTACTTAAATTGTATCTTCCGTTGTTTTTATTATGATTTAGGGTTTGCCCCTAATGAAATTGGGAGGAAATGTGTTTTTGTGAAATTTCGGTATAAAAAGTACCAGTCACAACTTTTAACTGAGTTTGGATTTTATAGGGATTGATAAGGTATGATAGTTTAAAGAAATTGAACAAATTGTTATTATAACCACAAGAAAATTTGATATTGTCAACCATGAGGAAAACCACAACAGATATTTTCACCTCATATCCTGTTTCAGTGTTTGCTGAATTTACAATAAGATAAAGTAAAAATTAATCCATAGTTATTGACTATAGAAACACTTATCAAGTGGGGGAAAATTAAATTTCCAAAGGCTGATTTAATTTAGAAAACCTATTGCCCTTTAAAGCGAACACTGTGTAATCATAGTAGCTTAAATAGTGAACAGGATTCAACAGAAACTGAATTCACTTTCTCAACAAAAAAATATTCTAAATAAATAACAGATGTGTTCTACTAATGTTTATATTTTGTGTGTTTTTGGTGTATTTGAAGTATTGTTGTTCTAAAACATTAAATGTATTGACATGAACACCCACAGCTGGAATGCAGGTATTTACAAATTACCTGGTATCATTAATATCCAGGCTTCCAAAAACCCCAAACCGATTTGCTGTTGTCACAGCTGAGCAACTGTACATTTTATTTTTATAATTTTGTTTCCTGCTAAAAATATTCTAGATTGTTTCATATTGTATGATCTTGTCAATATAGTAATTCCTTTCAAATATTACTGTAATAGTACAATGAAATAGTTATTAATATTTAGCTCAATTAGTTTTTGCTGCTGCAAAATGAACACCAGCATTTTTTAGTGTGTGGTTATTTAGTGTTTAGTAATTTGGATAATTTAGTTCATTTCACATGTATTTACATGTATTTCTAATACAGTTTGATTTGACAGTTTAACTTTCAAACTTCCTGGTTTGACATATTTTCCTTGTTTACAAAACTTTCACGCTTTACTAGACGAAGTGAGTTACATGGCCACAATTTTTACAAGGATTAATTGAATTTTTTTCTATTTGAATATTTAAAAACAACTACAATGGATAAAGTTTGAACATTTTACAATCAACATTCTGGTTCCTTTGACCACCACCATTATATATTTGCTGTTTTTCTGTTACTTTACTCTCCAACTGTTGTGACCTAATTTGGAATATTTACCATATGTCATGCACTATTGTTGGTTTTATTGCTGTAGTCCCTACTTCATCAAAATCACAGATGTATTAAGTTGAGAGTTTAGTACTTGATTCTCTTAAGGCCACTGCTGAATGAATTTTGTGGAGCCATACTACCTTGTGTGCATGTATGTGATAACACCAAAATGTATTATGTTAGAAGCAGACACATACTTTATGAATGAATGACTGTGATGTCTGTAACAGAGGAAAATAGATCTCATATGCATACCAAACAAATTGTGCCAAATACCAAAATATTTTCTGCTTATACACATATAAATTATTCATGGTAATTCAATATTCTGCATCCTGTAAGGCATAATATTACAGTATCATTGTTTGGTAACAGGTGGCCATTATTTAACAGGGCATTGATATGAGGAGAGAGAGAGAGAGATCAGTTTGTTCTCAAATCACAAACTAACTATTTTACACACACACAACCCAAATTCAGACCATTGTGAAATAATTTTAATATTGAGCATCTCGAATTCAGATCATTTTGATAAGATTTAAACAACATAGCTCCCCCAATTCAAGCCATTTTGATATGATTTTAAAATATCATTCCCCCCTCCCCATCACACATAATTACATTCATGTACTGTGTGTGTGGGGGAGAGTTATTTTCAAAAGACAATGACTGAATAAATTTATTTGATCATCTTTTGCAATTTGCAGTGAACATGAACCATTCCTAAAGCACCATATTGCTACAAAGAAGATTCCATGTGTTGATGACAATGGAGACAGGACAACACCAGAAAAAGTCAATGGAATCAAGATGGAAAAATTTGTGTTTGATGTCTTTGAATTTACCAGGTATTTTGATTTAAAAATGTATCATTTACATTTTAATAAAGATGGAGATGTAGAATTTTAACAGTGCTCTGCAGTGTCTGAAATAAAAACTCACATTTGTTGTTTTGATCATATCTGAAATTGAAATCAAGATATTGTCCACAAAGTATTATTTACATTAGTTGTTGCTGATGATTTGAATTGATTTATTTATACTTGACAATCTTGTCTTCAATTAGTGACTTTGCAGTATTTGAGGTTTTGAGGGAAGACGAGTTTTCACCATTAAAGAATAGTTGTAAAGCAGAAAAAGACAATCCCACCACAGCAAGACATGCTCTGTATTCATTACATCATCGTTACATTTTAAATGCTGGCGGAAAGTTTGTTGACAAAGATGGATCAAAGATTCCAGCCATTCCAAGGTAACCATCCCGTAAAATATCTACATATACATTCATAGATAACCATTTGTGTAAGGTTTTACACTTTTTTTCTTAAAAATATATAAAATGTATGAAATTTATGACATATCCACATCCAGTACAGAACAACAGCAGTCTGTACACATTATACTTTTATATTAATATGCAAATAAAATTCCTTATTAATTTGTTTACTTGATCACCTCGGTTTCTCTAGTCTTATCACTTCAATCCTTGGAAAATGAGCTCACAGTGGAACATCTGTGGCTAGCATTGCTATGTAAATGTGTAGAATATAATAATCTGTAAATCCGTAATACATGCCATGCAGCTGGCAAAAAAAAATCTTAATCATATTATCTTCCGGATTTGTGCACTTTATTTGATGAATTTTAAAATTATT